TCTTAAAACTATTTATACTAGTACACATATTTTTTACAAATTATGATTTCAATATTTAATTTTAACAATATTTTTTCCAACGAGAATCACTTAAATACTACTATATTTGTATAACCTTCCTGTGGTGGTGGTATAGCATAATGCCCGTGAGCCAACGTATCGACTATGTTGTCGAGCCTGTAGCGCTTGGTTGTAAACCAATTCGATTGCGTTGCCATAATGTGGTTTCAATACGTCGTAGAAGTACTTGTACATTAGCGTCTTGCTAATGTCAAACACTGCTAAACCGACGTATATTGGTTTGATAAACTTGACAATCTTTGTGTCCATTATGACAGCGCACAACCTTTCACCGTATTTGATACAGTCGTTGAAGGTTGGTTGGTTTACGAGCTTGCTTAGACGTTCGGGACTGGAGATTAGCTCAATACGGNCTGTTTGCTTAGACGTTCGGGACTGGAGATTAGTTCAATGCGGATGCGTTTCCACAAGTTCTCCATGGTTTTCCCTATAAAATATAAATATTTATCGAATAACCCGTAACTGCTTTAGCATTGAGCGTGCACTTACCAAAGACGGCATTATTTATTAATTTGAAAAACGATATTTCAAAAGCATTTGCCGCCTGTTTCCGCATTTCAGTGTTCAACTCAATGTACGGTTTTAACCAAGGACTTTGTTGAAACTCTAAAACGCGGTGCACCTGTGTGACAAACATATTTATATCCTAGCTAATAGCTCTAGGTACGATGTATATACTTTATCAACATGCAGTCCGTGTGCGATCGCCTGTTTTAAGTTGACATAGTGAACGACGTACCGTTGTTTGGATTTCAAAGTGGCCATGAGTTTGGTCTCTTTGGAACCCGGCAGTACATCGTTGCCAGACAAGAACGGCAAGTCGTTGTGCTCGACATGCAGCCCTTCTGGATACGATACATCTACTTCATATATTCGCCCCGTATTACCAGTGTCCGACAACGATTGGAGGTCAGCCAGAGGGTCTGCTCCTTTATACGACCGGAAGCCACCGTACGGCATGGGCTGACTCATAGCCCACCCGTAAAGGTTATTGGCTGTATACATTAAACGTTTTTAAACCACCGCTCAATTATTGCGCGTTTATATATACATATAGTTTACTTACAGTCTTGATACACGATCAATGAGTCTGGTTTTGACGGATCGTAATCGGGTGTCTTAGGATTGTTGGCCTTTGCATAGTGCTTGACAGCCTGCACTAACACACCACGAATGCCCTGTTCCACCATCAGTAGCATGTTGTAGTCGTTCAAGAGCTCCAGCTTCATCCTGGTGTATTTCAACATACAATCGAAGCTAAAACCAGGTGCGGTATAATAGTGCGCCGGGTACAAATTGTATGTTGTAATACAGATGTCGTGAAAATTCTCAAACACATCAGCTAACAACAACACGTCGATCTTAAGGTATAAGTCGCCGCTGTACTCCTCGAGTGTTGAGCAGTCGAAACGGTTCCACACCTCCGTGGCATGTCTATAGTCATCATCATCGATATTCGACTTACTTAACTGACTATAGAAAGCGTCTTTAGGCGGTAGTTCCGTTTCGTCCAATTTAATTCAACTATCAGTGTACTCGTAGGGGTATAAGCCTTTACCCGTCACCAACGGCATATCTTCAGAGAGGAACACCTTGGCCGTTTCCCGGAATTTAACGAAATCGGGTGTCATTAGGTTAACGGCCAAAGTGGACAGGGAGGAGGCCATGAACCGGAAGGTGTCGACAAACCGTTTGGAGAAGTTATTGGTCACGTGTTTCGTGACCGAAATATACTTCTCCTCGGAATTCGGAATAACCGAAATCCTTTGGTCGTCGTACACCAATTCAGTGACGATGAATTACAAAGTAAGAAATAATTGAATTAATGATAGAAGCATTACGAGAGTTAAGAATTAAGGAAGGGTCAGGATTGGATATACCGTTAGAAGATAGGAAGTTAAATAGCTATTTAAATTGAGTGAAGGACAAAATAATAAGTAGTGGAGGAAATCACCAATGAATTCCTCTTCATGGAGGTGGCAAAAAGGAACAGAATTTAGGTTAAGTTTATAGGCAAAAGAAGGTAGGAGGTTATGTCCAACTCTTAAAGTGAAATAAGAAGAGAGAAGGTTAGAGGACAGAGTAGATAATGAATTTTTGAGAGAAGATATAGCGCTAGTAAGACAGCTGTTAGTGGAAAAGAGAACGATATCATCAGCATAAAATAAAGAGGAGTAACCAAGAGAGGAAAGGTTAATACTAATAGGACACATATTGTGTCATATTGTGACAAATATTGAAAAGAATAGGACTTAGGCAACTTCCCTGAGGTAAACCTCTAAAGGAAGTTCTAGAGACCGACAACCCTGACGGGGAAGAAAAATGAAGAGACCGATAAGAGAAAAGAGAGCATAGAAAATTACAAAGAAGAGGTGGAACATTGATTGAATATAACCGCTCGGTAAGGGTAGGTATATGCACGTAGTCAAAAGCTCCTTTAATATTAATAAAAACAGCTGGAAAAAATATCTTTTTACAAAATAACTCATTAATGGGACCAATAAAAGAATAAAGGCAATCCATTGTACCTATGCCTCTCCTGAAACCAAAAAGGTTACTTGGGAGGAGGTTGTTCTTTTCTAAAAACCAGTCTAGTCGGGACTTAAACATAAATTCAACAGTTTTACAAAGTGATGAGGAGAGAGCAATAGGTCGGAAAGAAGAGGGGGTAGAGTGAAGTTTTGGTATAGGAATAACATGAAAACATTTCCAGGAAGGGGAAATTAAGCAATTGGACCACAGGGAGTTAATTATGGTGAGGAGAAAATCGAGACCAAATTGGGGAAGATATTTTAGCATTAAAGGGGAAATGTCATAAAGACCAGAAGCAGAAGAAGTTCGTGAGAAGATTGCTAAAGTGAGCTCTTTAGAAGTGAACGGCATAGTTAAGGGATGAGAGTCAGAGTTGTTAGTTGAGGGAATAGGGATGGAGGAGGGAGTAGATTCCTTGAAAGACGGAACATATGGAGGAGCAATTTTATCACAGAATGAGGGAAACCATGCTTCGTTAAGTGAAGGGTAACGGCGACTTACACAGTTTTTAAACTTTTGGGCGGTGGACCATAAGTGATGAAGGGAAGAAAGATGGGTTGAGGGACGAGCAAAAGGAGTACCAAGCATCCATTTTTGCTTTTTTCAGCGTACGAGTGGTGTTAGAACAGATACGTCGATAGGTAATAAAATTAGAGACTGGACTTGTAGCTCTGTATAAGCGAAAAGCCTGAGAGCGTTCTTTAATGGCATTAGTACAGGTGGTAGACTACCATAGTGGAGAGGGAGGGAATATATTTTTAGTGCTTTTTTTAATTGGTATAGAGGAATAAGCCGCATTTTTGAGTAAAGTGACAAAAGATTCATAGTCAGTTAAAGGGCAGGAAGAGGGGAAAAGTTAGAAAGAATAACAGTAGAGTAAGCTGAAAAGAGATTCCAATCGGCTTGGTTTAAATTAAATAAAGGGGAGTGAGATTTGGAGGGAGAATCAGAAATATAGTTGGGGAAAGGAGGAGAGTGAGAAATAACAATGGGTTAGTGGTTGCTGCCATAAACGCAATCTAGGACAAACCAATGAAGAGACCAAGATAATGTAGGAGAAGTAAAAGTAATATCAACAACTGTGTCGGCAAAAGGGGGGCGATTGGCGTGAGTAGGGGAGCCGTCGTTGATAATACTTAGATTAAAAGAACAAATGGAAGAAAAAATTAAATTTCCACGATAATTACTGTCATGGGATTCCCATGCAGGATGGTGATCGTTTAAGTCCCCACCGATAATGGAGTTAGGAGAAAACAAATTGAAGATAGAATTAATGATTGTCGGAGGAGGGTTGGAAGAGGGGGGAATATAAATAGACCAAAGACAAACAGAAGAAGAATGGTTAGAGAAAGCTACAATACCAATAAGGTCGATTGAATGAATACATAGGGAGTTTAAAAAATTATCGTTAATAGTAATAGGAGAAATTTCAATGGTGTGATGGGCAGCAATGGCCACTACACCATAACCGTCCTGTCTATCAACACGAATGAGGTTAAAACTGTTGATCTGGTAAGACCGCTTTTGTAAAAGCCAAGTCTCCGATAATAAAGCAAAGGAGCATTTGTGTTCAGATAAGAGGAAAGAAAGGTCATGACTGTGTGGAATAATACTGCGTATATTCCATTGTAAAATATTAAAGACAGGACAGGAGTTAGAAGAAATATTAGTGTTATTTAGAGTTGTCATCATTAATTGTCTCTAAAGATTTGGCGTTAAATAAGGAAAATTCTACTAAAGAACGGAGCGAGGCAGGAGAAGAAAGTGAGTCAGGATCGCGAGTAAGGGACTGGGAAAGTTGATCGACAAAGGATGAAATCCAGTCATTATTTTCATGAGTGGGGGAATTAATGGAAGTTACGTAATTAAAATAACTACCATTAGGGGAAGCGTAGTGTTCATTAACAGGGTGGAGTGAAGGGTATTGAGGGGAAGAATAGGCGTTATTATTATGTAGAGCAGTTTTTTTTTTATGTTTTTGTGTGGAGGAAGAATTAAGAGCCGGAAAAGAGGAGGTAAGTAAATGGTTATCTATAGTATGAAGACTGGCTGGCTGTACATTATTAATTTTGTTAAAATTTTTAGCATTATTCACATTAGTGATATTTTTAACATTATTAATATTATTGTTCTTATTAGAAGTATAGTTATTTGTGACTTGTGCGTAGGAAAAAGCTGAGTTGACAGCACCAGAACGTTTAATTGTTGCTTATTAATATCCTGATTAAGATAAAGTATGTCGAATGAAAAAGGGATAACTAAAAAATATTATTTCTCGTTAAAAAATTGTGTTCATCCATACACTTTTAATAACTTATAATAGCATTATAAAGTTAAAAATGTATAAAATAAAATCGAGAATTTTTACACAATATTAGCATTGGGTAGCCATTTTCACCGTGAAGACAAAATTTTTTTCCATAATAAAGTATATTACATTAGCTTTAATTTAAGATATATATATATATATATATATANATTATCGCTTGAGCAACAAGCAAAAAAAATGAAGTTCAGATCCATCAACAAATTCCCACCATGCAATGTTGGCGACACAGTTAGAGTCAAACTACCAGAAGTAGACAGAAGTAAGGGTGATCCACAGAATGTACTCTTTGCGATTGTGTCTATAAGTGATAATCAATATTACGAACTCGGTAATAAAAATGGCACTCTTCATCAACTTTATTCCAGAAATCAATTCACTGTATGCTCTGAACCATTAATAGATATTTTAGAAGTTTTAGCCACAAAAAAATCTTTGCGTGAAATAGCTAATGAACAATCTTTTTCCGGTGGTCAAGGTTTTAAGAAGTGTTTATGTAAAACTACATGCTTAACAAATAAATGTAAATGCAAATCCGGGGGAATACTTTGTAATTCTAAATGTCATCCAAACTCAAATTGTTCTAATAAATAATTGTATTTCGCTTAAAATAAATAGTAAATAGTAAATAGTAAAATTGTTCAAATATATAATTTATAGTTTAATCGTAATAATAATAAATAATTTTTTTTTGAATTAGTATAATTTGGTTTTTGCTACTAGAAAGACTTTGTATAATCTGTACCATTTACCGAAGTTATAAGTTTACGATTATAGTTATACGAATACATTATCCACAGCACACCGGATAATGTATAAATTGATTGGATACTACATATTTAAGGTGGATAATGTATACATTACACTGTTCGTATGGATGAGGTTCACATTACCCGGGTAATATGTACACTAACCATTTTTATACTTTACCCGTAACATATATAAGTGACAGACATTTCGGGAAATTTCAAAAATCAAGTTGAAAATATTAATTTTTTGCGAAAAAGTTGTCATTTTGAATCCCCCTGTGGGTAGGTAAAGGGTCAGATATATAAAAAAATATACAAAATGAAAGGTAATAATGACATGCATCTTTATAAAAAAAAATATATTGTCTTGGTTATTTTTAAAAAAGTTATGGCAATTTTAAGTAAAAAAATTTCGAAAATTAGTGATTTTTAAATTTGTAATTTTTTTCAATTTTTGAGGCTAAAGTCTTCAACTAGATACGATTTGTGATATTTTGACGTATCGTTGAAAGAAATCGGTTCGGTGAGAGCTGAGAAAAACTAGTAACAGCACAAAAAAAAAAAAACAAAGCACATCATAGTAAAATTAATACCTTCTCACCTTCGCATCGAAGCTAATACTACTTCTCATAAAAAAATTGTGTTGATCCATACACTTTTCAATAAGTTATAGCATTATAAAGTTAGAGAAAGGTTTAGATAAAAGATAAGAGTTTATGATACTCGATGGGTTTGTCAATATACTAATTGCAATTCAATGATCAACAACTATTCAGCAATTTTAAAAATGAAATTGAAAAAGAAGCTAATAAAGATGTAGTTGAAGCTATAGGTCAATTATTAAAAAAAAACCCAGCACAAGGGGGTCGCGGCACAGTGGTGACGTGGCATAGTTGGATCAAGTAAATGATATCTGACAGTGATTAAAATCACCATCAAAAATAAACGCTTCGATGCAAATCTTTAGATAGTGTTTAATTTTAAAAAAATTGGTGTTTTATTCCAAAAGCTACTTGATCTGCTGGTTCCTTATTAATATCTCGATTAAGATAAAGTATGTCGAATGAAAAAGGGTTTATTAAAAAATATTATTTCTCATAAAAAAATTGTGTGGATCCATAAACTTTTCAATAAGTTATAGCATTATAAAGTTAAATATAATATAAATAATAAAATCGAGAATTTTCACACGAAAATAGCATTCGGTAGCCATTTTCGCCGTGAAGACAAGTCCAGAGGTCAAATTTTTTTTTTTCAAATTAAAGTATATTACATTAGCTTTAATTTAAGATATATATAAAAGTGTCAGACCTTCCGGAACATTTTCAAAAGTTAAGTTGAAAAAGTTAATTTTTTGTGAAAAAGTTGTCATTTTAAATCCCCCCCTGTGGGCAGATAAAGTGTCAGATTTACAAAAAAAATATACCAAATGATAAGTAAAGACATCAAGCATCTATATAAAAAAAAATTATATTGATATGTTCATTTTTGAAAAAGTTAGAGCATTATTAAGTTAAAAATATAAAAAAAAATTATTTTACAAAAATCGTAATTTTTTATTAACTTTGATGTCAACTTTCACCACGAAGACAAGTCCAGAGGTCAAATTTTTTTTTTTCAAATTAAAGTATATTACATTAGCTTTAATTTAAGATATATATAAAAGTGTCAGACCTTCCGGAACATTTTCAAAAGTTAAGTTGAAAAAGTTAATTTTTTGTGAAAAAGTTGTCATTTTAAATCCCCCCCTGTGGGCAGATAAAGTGTCAGATTTACAAAAAAAATATACCAAATGATAAGTAAAGACATCAAGCATCTATATAAAAAAAAATTATATTGATATGTTCATTTTTGAAAAAGTTAGAGCATTATTAAGTTAAAAATATAAAAAAAAATTATTTTACAAAAATCGTAATTTTTTATTAACTTTGATGTCAACTTTCACCACGAAGACAAGTCCAGAGGTCAAATTTTTTTTTTTCAAATTAAAGTATATTACATTAGCTTTAATTTAAGATATATATAAAAGTGTCAGACCTTCCGGAACATTTTCAAAAGTTAAGTTGAAAAAGTTAATTTTTTGTGAAAAAGTTGTCATTTTAAATCCCCCCCTGTGGGCAGGTTAAGTGTCAGATTTACAAAAAAAATATACCAAATGATAGGTAAAGACATCAAGCATCTATATAAAAAAAAATTATATTGATATGTTCATTTTTGAAAAAGTTACGGCAGTTTTTAGTAAAAAAAATTGAAAAAATTTCGAAAATTAGCGATTTTTAAATTTGTAATTTTTTTGGAAGAGTCCCCCATTTACGGGGAACGAGGGAAATTTTTTCAATTTTGAAGGGTAATGTCTTCGACTAGATACGATTTGTGATCTTTTGACGTATCGTTGAAAGAAATCCGTTCGGTGAGAGCTGAGAAAAAGTGGTAACAGACA